GCTTGTGTTGCAATCGAAACGTCGTAGTATGCTATTATTTAATTTATTATTTATCTTTAGATGTGACTTTACCGAAAGAACCAAAGAATAATTCCTGCAGTCACGAAAGCTCCAAAATTAAGATTTAACCCCCACATCTCCGAGGCCACCCATGTATGTACAAAATGGCGTCCCCACGGTTTCCCCCGCGCGCCCAAAATGGCGTCCCAGCAGCCCTCACTGAGGACCACCACAGACATTACATGTCCCCGTTAGCACCCACTCGCATTTCCGACGTGGCGTCTCCATCCTAAAAACCGTGCACGTCGGCCATATCGGGGGGGGGGAATTTCCATGTTACCACCCCCACCGCCTTTCCGACGCGCGTCCAAAACCAGTAGCACGTGTCGGCCGTATCAGGGGAATTTTAACCCAGTCTCTCTCCAAGACTCGCATCGCAGCATATAGCTGTACCGACCGAGCTGAGACGACCCAGTCTCTCTCCAAGACTCGCATCGCAGCATATAGCTGTACCGACCGAGCTGAGACGACCCAGTCTCTCTCCAAGACTCGCATCGCAGCATATAGCTGTACCGACCGAGCTGAGACGACCCAGTCCTCTCTCCAAGACTCGCATCGCAGCATATAGCTGTACCGACCGAGCTGAGACGACCCAGTCTCTCTCCAAGACTCGCATCGCAGCATATAGCTGTACGACCGAGCTGAGACGACCCAGTCTTCTCTCCAAGACTCTCATCGAGCATATAGCTGTACCGACCGAGCTGAGACGACCCAGTCTCTCTCCAAGACTTCGCATCGCAGCATATAGCTGTACCGACCAAGCTGAGACTACCCCATCGTTCACAGCCCCCTACTCGCAATGCAGCCCCTGGCTGCATGCGATCGAGCGGAGGGAGCAACGACAGACAGGACCCACTGGTCCTGCCAACCAAACATCCCTATGACATTACGACGGGATTTCAGCACCCAACTCAAAAGCAACTCACCATAAAGCTCCCATGAGCCTCAGTGTCACTGTTTCAGACACGCCACGGAGTGTCTTGAACTCCGGGCCGTCAGTTCAAGCCGCCAGCCACAGCATGACGGGACCACAACTCCCAGAGCCACGTGAGCGCACAGCCCACCAGGCTAGACGCGCCACGGAGTGTCTCGAACTCCGGGCCGTCAGTTCAAGCCGCCAGCCACAGCATGACGGGACCACAACTCGTGTCAACACACAACCATAAGAGGGGCATTCTGTGCAGAATCTTTGCCCCAGATAAGCGACAGCCAGCACCACAATCCAGTCGCTGGCCCCATATGTCATCGTCACTATCTAACGTTCCGTACCAAGGAACACAACAATGCACCTCACAACCCGTATCCGTGCAGAGAGACATTATATGCTGTACGTACAGTCCGCACATCGCGCGTGAGAAAAGCCCCATACAATAAACACCGTTAACAAATGTGGCACATTGCAATCGCACAACACAACAACAAAAATGTAGATCTGACCAACAAAATAAACCGATGTCACTGCGAGCTAATAACACGGCAACCCTGGGTGACGTTGAAGGCCTCGGAACCATGAACAATGTGGATGCTCTGTAGAGGTTTACTTTAAATGTATGTACACAAGTATGGTGTCATATTCATGTTCATATCAACATTTACTAAACACCTCAATCATTTTGGAACGTGTATAAAATAGTACATCTTTTTGCAATTTAAACTTTATAGGGTTTCATGTGTGTACAATTAATAACAAGTATAACCCGTAAAAACAAAGTTTTTCACTATAAATCCTTTATATGCGTGGCATCGGCTAGAGTCCTCTCGTCCTCTGGCTTGAGATGGCTGCCACCTATGGGTCAGATGATTGTCTGCAGCTATTAAACAATTGGTAATTAAATATAATATTTTAGTTCTAAACAGTGTAAAATTTTGGAAAAAATCTTTTCACGAAATTAATTGTCTCGCACAACGAGTTTGTGTGGGAATGTCAGCTCGATTGGATCACGGGAAGTGGGTTAACAAACGAACCGAACGATTTGCAACGGTCGTAAGCAAGCAAGGCGAACTTAATATAAAGGATTTAATAAGTATAACCCGTAAAAACAAAGTTTTTTCACTAGAAATCCTTTATATGCGTGGCGGCCTAGAGTCCTCTCGTCCTCTGGCTTGAGATGGCTGCCACCTGTGGGTTCAGATGATTGACATTGCACCATTAAGCAATTGTAATTAAAATATAAATTTTTTGTCCTACAAAGTGCTAAAATTTTAGAATTTTTTTTCACGAATATTAATTGTCTCGCACAACGAGTCTGTGTGCAAAATGTCAGCTCGATTGGATCACGGGAAGTGGGTTAAAAAACGACCGGAAGATTGCACGGTCGTAAGCACGCAAGCAAGCGAACTTAATATAAAGGATTTAAAATAGACCACGTACTGAAAGGCTTAATTCATTTAACTTTGTATTGCATTCGCAAAGCTACGGCCAATTCACGCGTGTCATCCCCGTTGCGATATGCATATTCACGCTCAGGCCAATGAAACCATCACCTGTGGGACGTATTGAGTGGCTCTCTTGTGTTACAGAGCTGAGCCATGGCCTTCACGACAACACCGACCTTCCTGCGAAAAAAAGAAAGGGCTTTTCAGCTTCTGTGGCCAAAAAAAAAGAAGGTGAATACGCTAACTAGCTTCTTCTAGCTCTTTTGGTTATTCTAACAACTCCCCGGTGTGCATTGTTGAGTGTTTGCTGTCTTTGCTTACCTGTGTGTCATGTCCTCTTTCTGCTGCTATGGCTTTCCCAGAGTGATGATGATGATGATGTTTCCGAGTGTGGTTCCAACAGTTCAATGCATGGTGACAGTAGGTCTTAATTGGGTGGCCTTCATTTCAAAAAGGTTGCTAGCCACCGCTTTAAGACATCGAGTCGGCAAATGCAAAGTTCTTGACGTCACATAGTCCCAGTTGATGCAAGCCGAAAGCACTTGCAGTTGTATTTGTAAACACCGGCGAACTGTATTCTTTGGTTCTTTCGGTAAAGATAAATTAATAAATTAAATAATAGCACACTACGACGGTTCGATTGCAACACAAGCAATCATCATCATCAGCTATAAAATAAATAGCGACACAAATCTAACCATAAAACTATAGACAGACACACAAGCAGGACAGACATCACAAAGACACACAGAGAGAGAGAGTAACACGTATCGGCACAGAGAGAGAGAGATCGTCTCTGTGACGAGGCCTTGATTCCAAGAACACAGGATAGATGTTACTATCCTTTGTGCAAGCACTTCCAAGAGTTCATGAACAGCGAGCCTCGTGAAATTTGGGGAGCGCATCGTCAGCAGTGAACCTTTGGTTCCTAGAATGTTTTGGCCTTTCACACGATACACCCTCCCCAAAGGCGGCCAGCGACAGGGCGATCAATCCTACGCTTGCGTCCCTTCCAATTAGTCACATGAGTTGCCTTGTTGTTGATAGCCAACAATAAGAGTTGAGTAGGTGAGTGAGTAGGTGAGTGAGTAGGTGAGTGAGTGAGTAGGTTGATGTGAGTGGGTGAGTGCGTGTGTGAGTATGTAGGTGAGTGAGTAGGTGAGTGAGTGAGTAGGTGAGTGTGTAGGTGAGAGTAGGTGTAGTGAGTAGGTGTGTAGGTTCAGAGTCCAAGAACCAGGATGAGTATGTTACTATCCTTTGTGCAAGCACTTCCAAGAGTTCATGAACAGCGAGCCTGGTGACATTTGGGGAGCGCATCGTCAGCAGTGAACCTTTGGTTCCTAGAATGTTTCGGCCTTTCACACGATACACCCTCCCCAAAGGCGGCCAGCGACAGGGTGATCAATCCTACGCTTGCGTCCCATTCCCAATTGGTCGTAGGAGTTGCCTTGTTGTTGATAGCCAACAATAAGAGTTGAGTAGGTGAGTGAGTAGGTGAGTGAGTAGGTGAGTGAGTGAGTGAGTAGGTGAGTGAGTGAGTATGTAGGTGAGTGAGTGAGTAGGTGAGTGAGTAGGTGAGTGTGTAGGTGAGAGTAGGTGAGTGAGTAGGTGTGTAGGTTCAGATTCCAAGAACACAGGATGAGATGTTACTATCCTTTGTGCAAGCACTTTCAAGAGTTCATGAACAGCGAGCCTGGTGACATTTGGGGAGCGCATCGTCAGCAGTGAACCTTTGGTTCCTCGGGTGTTTCGGCCTTTCACACGATACACCCTCCCCAAAGGCGGCCAGCGACAGGGCGATCAATCCTACGCTTGCGTCCCATTCCCAATTAGTCGTAGGAGTTGCCTTGTTTGATAGCCAACAATAAGAGTGAGTAGGTGAGTGAGTAGGTGAGTGAGTAGGTGAGTGAGTAGGTGAGTGAGTGGGTGAGTGAGTGTGTGAGTATGTAGGTGAGTGAGTGAGTATGTAGGTGAGTGAGTGAGTAGGTGAGTGAGTAGGTGAGTGTGTAGGTGAGAGTAGGTGAGTGAGTAGGTGTGTAGGTTCAGATTCCAAGAACACAGGATGAGATGTTACTATCCTTTGTGCAAGCACTTTCAAGAGTTCATGAACAGTGAGCCTGGTGACATTTGGAAACTTATCATCAGTAGTGAACCTTTGATTCCTAGAATGTTTCGGCCTTTCACACGATACAGCCTCCCCAAAGGCGGCCAGCGACAGGGCGATCAATCCTACGCTTGCGTCCCATTCCCAATTAGTCGTAGGAGTTGCCTTGTTGTTGATAGCCGACATCCCATGGGACTATGCACGGCAGGGGCGTCCTCCTCCCTGAGTCAAGCATTGTTGACTTAGTTTTTTGTCGCTATTTCTTTTATACCCGACGTCGATTGCTCGTGTTGCAATCGAAACGTCGTAGTATGCCGTTATTTAATTTATTACTTTATCTTCATACGTGACTTTACCGAAAGAACCAAAGAATCATTCCTGCAGTCACGAAAGCTCCAAAATTAAACACTGGCTAACTCGTCAATGTTTTCCACAGACCTCCATGCCCGGAACACCATTAATGGGGCAGCAGCAGCAGCAGCAGCAGCGACCAATGAGCATGCCGTGCGTGCCCTCCCCTATGCCGGGCACACTGCCCAGTGGCGGCGGCGGTGGCGGTGGCAGCAAGCAGAGAGCCCCAGGAGCCCCCGTCTCACCCACCAACCCCCTGGCCACCATCCCTGAGGACGAAGAGCCGGACAAAGACAACGTTCCGTCCGTCCCTCCCGGCAGGCAGGAGAGCGGTTTTGAGCAGGTGTGTCGCGATCGCTTGCAGGCGACGCGTTCGTTTTGCACGAATGTTGCATGCATACAGTGCAGTGTACATTTCAATTCGAAGCGGTGTGCACATGCTTAACGCCAAGATCAACGTGGGCTCTCCAATTTTGTTGTTTACAGAAATGACACAACTGAGACTGAATTTCGATTTAAAGCTTCTTTCGTGAATGCAGGGATTCATCTTCTGTGGTTCTTTCGGTAAAGTCACCACGTAGCAGGGAAGTAATAAAATAATAAAAATAAAACATAGTAAAATAAAATACTCAGAAACGTCGTGAGAATTATTTTATTTTATTATGTTTTATTTTTATTATTTTATTACTTCCCTTCTACGTGACTTACCGAAAAAAACCAAGAAGATTTCATATGATGTTAAAATCACAATGCCACACCAATTATGCCCCGTAAATATTTCAGAAAACGGTTATATTACCACAGTGCATTTGCTTTTCACGAAAGCTTTAAGTCGAAATGTAGATGCATTATCTTCTGGTTCTTTCGGTAAAGTCACGTATTGCTTCCCTTCTACGTGACTCTACGTGACTTTACCGAAAGAACCAAGAAGATGAAACTGAGACTGGTGCAGTTTTAAGTCCAAATTTCAGTGTACGTGTCGTAGCTTCCGGGAGACTTGGACGACGCAGTTGGAGGCACACTTGTTTATTCAGCGCAAAGTACAGAACAGGCCGAGATGTACGGCACTCGAAGGGGTATCGGCCCAATCTTGATTTTGGAGCTTTCGTGACTGCAGGGATTATTCTTTGGTTCTTTCGGTAAAGTCACGTGTAAAGATAAAGTCATAAATTAAATAATAGCATACTACGACGTTTTGTGCACAAACAACGCAGCACGTCACCCAGTCAGTCAGCCTCAAGACACGCTCCGGTGGTAAACCTCCGTTGCATTCTTCGTGCTGTTTGAGAATTTTTTTATTATTTGATTTATTTCACCCTTTAAAAAATTAACTACAAATCCTTTATATGCGTGGCATCGGGGTGGCTAGAGTCCTCTCGTCCTCTGGCTTGAGATGGCTGCCACCTATGGGTCAGATGATTGTCTGCCACCATTAAGCAATTGGTAATTAAATATTTTTTTTAAATTCCCTAAACAGTGTAAAATTTTTGAACATTTTTTTCACGAAAATTAATTGTCACGCACAACGAGTCTGTGTGCAAAATGTCAGCTCGATTGGATCACGGGAAGTGGGTTAAAAAACGACCGAAAGATTTGCACGGTCGTAAGCAAGCAAGCGAACTTAATATAAAGGATTTAAAAAAGGTAAGAACTTTCTAAACCACTAACATTGTACTTTATATATAATCGGTACAATCTTGATTTTGGAGCTTTCGTGACTGCAGGGATTATTCTTTGGTTCTTTCGGTAAAGTCACGTCTAAAGAAAAAAGAATAAATTAAATAATGGCATACTACGACGTTTCGATTGCAACACAAGCAATCATCATCAGGTATAAATGAAATAGCGACATAAA